ATGTGTTTCGTAAACTAAATGAGGAAGTGATAAGACTAAGGCATTGTTATAAAAATTGAGAACTCTAACTAGTAATCCTGCTTTGAATAAAAAAACCCTTGCTCATTTCGACGTGGAGATAATCTTCAGGGCTCAGTGACCCAGAAGGAAGCCAGGTCCTAACTATGTGCCATACAATCCTATGTCCATTCTTCTAGGGTACCTGAAAAGTTTTTTTCATGGGATCCAAAACCATTCACAATAGCCTTGGTTGTCTTAATATTTCATTACATTTTCTAGTTTTTTTAAAGTTAAAAATCAGTGTTATTTTCAAAGAAACATTGACAAAATCAGCACAAACCAGAAAGAGGCCATCAGGAAGATGAAGAATACGTATCTGGAAAACTTGGAGGAACTAAGAACATTTTTAATCCAGAGATGAGAACAGTTAAAGGGAACGCGATGCTTCAGATACGACTTTCTACCTTTTGGGAAAAGTATCATCTGAGAGCAGTACTAGGACCAGGGCATCTTATTAAGAAGACAGTTTCCAACAAGAAAGTGCTTGTTCAGAACTAGTGTCATTCAAGTGTGGACAGGCCTGTCTAGCGAGACAGAGAGTTCCTCTCATTAGAAGTGTTTTCTTTGATGGCTCTTTGTGTATGTGCACGAGCCATACTTTCTTGTTTCTTTGCATGTCTTATGATTTTCGTTATTGTTGAAAACTGGACATTCTAAATAATATCTTGCGGTAACTCTGGAAATCAGGTTCTTCTTCCTCCCTAAAGTTTGTTGTTTATCATTCTTATTGTTTGTTCGTTAATGACTTTCCTAAACTAATTCTAAAAGTCTGTATTCTTTGTTATGTGTGGCCCCTGAAGTCTGCTTGGTCAGCCTACTGGTCAGTTAATAAAAGAACGGAGATTTCGTTAGATGCCCACGGTACACAGAGCTGGTTTAGCTGCAAATCAAGTTCAAATAAAGATGGCTGGCAAGTGAGATCTTACAAGGAACCACCAGATAGGACAAATAATGGCAATACTCAGGGAATGGGGCTTTGAAGTAGCTCCACCCATATTGTGTTGCCTCTGGTGGCTTCTAGGCCACTGGTTTTCACTATAAATGTGGACTGTTGATTTTCAAGGCTAATGTAGAGCTGGGGAGGAGGATGGGAATATGGCAAATCAAAATACTACAAAGCTTGCTTTGTTACTGAGACTCAGTTGCTTTTATTAAATAAATGCTCCTCAGATTGCTGCAAGCCTTTGGTTAATTTCTAGAGTTCTAAAAGAGTCAATTCTGATAATTTTTGCTAGTGCTTTCATTGCTTATATGGTGGAGAGACTATGCAGAGGTCTTTTCTCTGCCAATTTTGCTGATGTCATTCTAGAAGTGCTTTTTAGCCATAATTTTAAAAGTTAAGTTGAACTCATTAACTTCCAAGATCCCCTCCCACTTAGAACATTCAATGTCAAATATATCACATTTCCAAACCATCCTAGATAATATAATTTGCTGTACCTTTTTTTAATAGATGCGATTGTTTAAAATAAAATTGAAACAGACTTTCCTAATGCCAAAATATGAACCATAGTAGTCTGTAGCTTATTGTCAAATACTGCTTTATTTTATTCACAGATTTAAAAAATAAATATTATCTTTCCTGCATAGTTTTTCAGGTTAGAATGAATAGTCAAAAAGGGGTGGGAGATCTTATTCCAATAAGAAGAAATATATAGGTAAAATTTAAGTGCCAGAGACTATTGAAAAAGTAAAAATCAAGTGATAATTGACTTATAGCATTTCACAAGATTGAATCATCAACATGTATTTCTTGAATTGTTTACCTTTAATTCTAAAATTTATTTTAATTATTATTACCAAAATATTGATATGTCCATGTTAATTCTTTCTTTATTATTTAAAGATCCATCTTTATACTAAGTACTGAGAATATAGGTAAGGAATCAACTAACCGTAATCCACAGCCATTTTCTATCAATTTCTTTGGAGATAGGTGCTGCATTACATGACAATGGTGTTAAATGATATGTCCATATAAATTAATTTTATAAATGTCTGAAGCTAAACCTTTTAAATTTAACAATTTTAATGTGACTCTTTCCAAACTATATTAAATACTTCTTTGCTTAATGAAAAGGCTAGTGATTTAATGTCTCGGTGACGAATAATCATTTTAGATAATTACCTCACTGTCCTGAAAAACAGTGACAGCCACCTTAGCTCTTGTGGGCAAGGACTGTTGCATCAATACTCAATGGTGACACAATGCTGTGGTTTTTGCATTTTCATACTTTTAAAAAGTTTTGTACCTCATACTTGTTCATTAATACCTACTTGCTTTTCTTAGATTTTCATCTATTTTAATTTGAGTTTTCGAATCTTCTGTGGGCTGACACACTAGATAAGAGTTGATACATACTGAACTCTTACCATGCACTAGACCCCATTCTAAGTGTTTATGTGTGTTTATTCATTTAATTCTCCCAACATCCCAAACAGGTAGGCACTATTATTATATATGTTTTTAGATGGCAAAAACTGAAGCACAGAGAGATTTACTTGCCCAAAGTTATATAGCTTAGCAGACCAAGGATTTGAAATTGAGAATTCCGGCTCTGCAATTCATGAACTTCACCATTATTTTGTATGGTGTCACATAAGGATGTTTGTTAGAATGACACAGAGATGTAAGAGTGAATGTGCTCTGGTAGACTAGCTAAGTGGAACTCTTTGAAAAATATTCAAACTTTGGCGAAGTATCTCTGTGACATCTGTTTTGGTTTCCCACAGAATGTGTGTGGGCACACACACATGCATGTATGCATGTGCACATTTGTATGTGTATTAAATGGATAAGATGGCTGTAGAAGGATCTTATTAAACTGGTGTTAAGTAGTATTAAATTATAAATATTTTAATTTTACTTTTGGTTAAATTAACAACATTTTCATAGTCTTTTGCTATTGATTTGCATTACATGATATACCAGAAAAAGATAGTTATTGAAATGTGTCTATGACTAGTTTCATTTTTTTCTTTCTTGAGAATAATGACTTACTAGAGTACGGTTACTGACCAGTATCTTTGGAAATCTCAGAATTATGTATTATTTGTTCCTCCTCTCCAATGGAATGCACAAGTTAACTGATTCAGTAGTCTGTTTTCCTTGGTTTAGTTGAGTTCTTTGTGGGATCTAGAGAAGAAAACAAGGAAGAAGTAGTTTAAATAATTGTTAATTTCTTTTTAGTCAAGTAGCTGCCTCAGTAGGCTGAGCACTAAGTCACTTTTACCCCAGACTCAGAATAAAAGCTTCAAAAAGTCACGTTCCTGCTGTTGGGAGATAATTTCCATGGGCCTCTTGCATTTGTGCATGTCTTGTGAGCAGAGGCACTAGCTGCCTTTGTTCTGAACTATCTTTTCAAGGGTTTTTGCATAGAAAACAGTCCTGAACACAGAGGTACTATTTTCCCTTCAGAGAAAAGGTAAGATATGTTTACTCTCCAGTATAATAAAGATTATGTCTCCAATGCAAAGTACAAGATTACTTACTGCCCATTATTAAAGGTTAGGGTTTCCTAAACTTGGGGTTCCTCTCCCATAATGCAACCCACTGTGTGTGTGTGTGTGTGTGTGTGTGTGTGTGTGTGTGTGTGTGTGTGTGAGATCTGGCTTTCTTCATGTTGCCATTGGGACTCAAATAACTGGCACATAGTCTGGCTATTGCTATTGCTATAAGTGATAAAGTTCTTTGCCTTTGTCTTCTGCCAGGACCCATGAAACTGTGGCAGGCTAACTTGTTAACTTCCAAGTAGAATAAAATATAAGAATCCTCAAAGTGCTTGAAATTTTTATTGTTAAAAAGTTCTTTCCTAGATTTTTCACTTCCATTTAGAATCAGCTTCCCTTTATAAGAATGAATTATTTCTTTACTGTGAATTCAGTAGAGACATGGAAGGTACTCTAAGCTTTTGTCATCTGAGAGATGACTTATGACAGTTAGCCACATTCTACCTCCTTTTCTTTGCCCTACCCACCCACCATTTTCCTTGGTCATGACTTTTCTTTCTCTTACTTTTTTTTTACTCCTTTCTTCTTCTTTCAGAATTTTCTTCTATGTCTACCATAAGAACTCCTTAGACTTTTTGTCCTTAAAACTAAACACAAACAAATAAAAATCTCATTAATCCTTTTTAAGCAGATGTCTCTAGCCTGTAGGGGATCTAAATATACCTTTCAAATGCTTACCTGATAGAATTAGGATTTGGTGTCCTGTCAAACATTCTCCCTTGTGTATTTCTGCACAGGCAGAGGACAGAGGTGTGTGTCATCCGGAGGGTAGGGGTAAGGGAATAGATTGATTTCTACCCACCAGCATGCTTCAGCAGCAGACTGGGGAAACATTCCTGATCCTTGGGGAAAAATCTCTGACCAGATGAATTATAATCCAACATGAATACAAATAAAAATAATGAAACATTATTTTTGAAAATTTTAGAGTCAGCACTCTGTGGCCTGGGCCCCAAATCTGGCCTACTGCCTTAGTTGCTCATGAAGCTTCTTTCATTGGAACACAACCATATCCATTCATTTACATAATGTCTACAGCCGCTTTCATGTGACAGTGGCAGAGGCGAGTAGTTGCAACAGAGACCACCACATGGCCTACCAAGCCTAAAATATTTACTATCTGGCCCTTTACCAAAAAAGTTTGCCACCCCCTGCTCTAGATGTTGTATTTTATACCTGCGGTTCTCAATTTGAAGTCGAGAAGAAAACAGGAGTTGTAAGTTGCTCAGAATCACTGGGGCAGGCTTTCTAAAAAGTGCACATTGCCGACTTCCCTCTGGCTTCTCATAGGTGTTCCCTGTTGAGAGTCACTGTCTTAAACTTAATGAGTCAAGTCGTTTGGTACCATTAACTGATACGGATTATTGTCACCATTTTGAGCCTCTGTAACACATCTAAAGGTAATATTGACCATGTTATTTCTTTTACAGGGTTGTGGGAAGAAAATGTATTCATTTTTGAGAGGAACCAAACAACTGCAGGTGCTAAGGTTTCTGGGAATCTCCATTGGAGTGACACAAATCCTGGCCATGATTCTCACCATAACTCTGCTCTGGGCTCTCTATTATGATAGAAGGGAACCTGGGACAGACCAAATGATGTCCCTGAAGAATGATACAACTCAACACCTGTCATGTCACTCAGTAGAACTGTTGAAACCAAGCCTGTCAAGGATCTTTGAACATACTTCTATGGCAAACAGCTTTAATACACACTTCGAGATGGAGGAATTATAGAGAATGTCAAAGAAGGAAATCACAAATTTATTTCATTGGACTTATGATTTTTTGAGCACACTTAACTGTTTTAGAAATGTGTAGAAATAAAAATGTTGCCTTAAAGAATTCCTAAGGATATAATTTTCAACCTTTTAAAATGAAGAGAGAAAAGTTTCCTATAAGTCACCACCTGGACAATGGTCAATGCCCTTTATACTGCTGAGGAGAGATCTAATACCCACTTTATAGCCTGTGTTAAGATTTTTTCTGAATACAGTTATGCTTTGAGGTTATGCTTTGGTACAGTTCAACCAATGTTTCTGCAGCAATGTAAACAAGTCATGCTATGATAGGATTGGAGTTATAGTAAAGTGTGACTTCCATAAGCTTGCTAGTATATAAAGTACCAATTAACTGCTAACCTTGGAAGTTAGACAGTACTAATGATTTTTTATTACTTGGTGATAGTCTTTTGAAGGTAAATAGATTATACATAAGAAAACTGAAGATTGGTGACTACCTAAATGTGATTTTTGCTAGTTACTAAAATATTCTCACTACTTACAAGAGCATACTAATGTATTGTCTTAAACTGATCAGGGATCTATGTGTATATAAGAGTCTGTGTGAAGTCTGTATAATTCAATAGATTTAAGTTCTTGTAATGTTAAAAATAACAATTGTGAAAAGGATAAATTTGTCTTGTATAGTACCATTATTTTTAACCTTTCCTGTTAATAGAGGTTTAGAATTCTGTCTTGGGTTTATATTACATACATAACTGTTAATTTAAATACTTAACCACTAATTTGAAAAATTGCTAGTGTGATCCAAAGGAGTCATTATAATGCAGAATGTAGTCTGGTCTCTAGGAAGTATTAATAAGAAAGTTTACACATAACTTAGTTCATTCAGCAAAGACTGGATATTATCTTTCTCTCTAAGACTCTTTTTGACACTAAACAGTTTTTTAAAAAGCTTATCTTTGTCAGTCTCCAAGTCTGAATATCATTCTACAGAGAATAGTGTTCCCTTTCTCAAGCAGAATGCTATGAGAATCATAAAAATAAGTGACAACTTAAATAGAGAATTTCTTTGCTCTATTACACTTTGCTTTATTTCCCTGAACTACACAGATTATTAAATTTTTTACAAGATTAAAATATATTTATTTGAAATGGGAAAAGTGCATTTTACTGTATTTTGTGTATTATGTTTATTTCTCAGAAAATGGAGAGAAAATTAAAACTTGTCAATAAATATTTTCTAGAGAGTAATAATTCATCTGTCTAATTTTTATACATTTTTATACATTATAAGCACTTTTACCACTCAAGGAGATTAACAAAGGGAGAAAAGTGTGAGAAGGAATGCCTGAATAAAATAATAATAATGATTTCCAAATATGGAACTAATCTGTAAGAATATGTATGTTCACTGAGAAGAAACAAAAAGATGCTCATTGACCTCAATTTTGATTTTGAGTTGAATGATAATGTAGTTGTTTGATGTAGTATAACAGTATGCCTATTTCTATTAATTAATCGTCCAGGTTTTTGACGTCATTTTTAAGATAAAAAAAAGTTTAAGGAATACAATATTTGAAATTAACTGCTAGATTTTTATTTCTTCCATGGATTTAAATAAAAACTGAGTAAATAATTTGCTCTATCAGTGCCCAAAGCATCCCTTTTTATAATTTCTTTAACACACAAATTCCCTATAATTTCATCTAAAATGCCCAAGTAATTGAGACAGCTATGAATATTATTTGAATTATTTGGACAGTGGTCAAATTTGGCTGCTTCTCTTTTATGTCACAAAAAGAGCAAGCATATATTGTGTCAAACTCAGTAAAAAAAAATCGTCAATTTATAAATAAAAGTCAATTTCTACATTTTTAGACTTAATATATTTTGATATATGATTAATACTCTAGAATAATTGACATAAATTTAGACAATCATATACTTATGCACTTGCTTAATGGGAGCAAATGACATTTATAGCAGTGGTCTACAAAGGCCTCTCATGGTAGGGTTGTATCTGGAATAACAAAACTGCAAGGGATTTTAAAAAGTGTGTTTAATGTGGCAGAGTGGAGAGAATTCATTATTTGGGAACACTGCAAACAAAATTGTTAACTAGTACTCTGAAAATTTTTAAAAGCTTTCTTTTGTAAAAATCACAATTGTTGAAAAGTCATAATTTAAGAAGATTATTTTTAGACTGGTTAATAGTCAATTTGAAATGCCCTGGAGATAGAGATGACAATAAGAGATGGTGTGGGTCTTCTAGCACTGTAAAATCTGGTTGGGAGATTTTACACTGTAAAATCACGCTTGTGCTAACCACTGATAAAATTAATACACACAGGAATATGCAGTGAGTGGAGCCATATTTAGCAATATGAGACGAAGGAGAGTAGAATGAAGGCAGTTACATGGAGGAGACAGCCTTCAAGCTGAGTCAGGAAGGAAGAGCTGAGTTTAGCTGGTTCGCAGAGAACGTTCCATGAGCCACTACCCTAAGATGAAACAGCATACACTATTTTGGAGACAAGACCTGTCGTTCAGTGTGGTTAGAGCATAGAATGCTTGAAGAGATACCACGGGAAAGGAAATGAGTGAAATCTGGGTTTTTGGACTTTATTCTGTAAATTCAATGGAGAGTCATTTAAAGTGTTTCCAGAATAAGAAGTGATTTGTGTTTCAGGAATGTAACTGGATTAGTCAAGTGAGAAACTGGGGGCAGAGAGACAGGCACCCCCATTGCCCAGCTCCTCATAGTGGGTCATTCTGTACCTACTCGAAGTGTGGAACACTGGAGGTGCAGAACACTGGCAACTTCAGAGGAATCTGGTTAGGCTGCCACTGCTGTGGTCCTGGAGAGAGACAAGAAGCCTAGCCAGCACAGTGGAAGTCAAAAAGACCTAGTTCGTAAAACAGGTTACGACAGGGTGAATCCACAAAAGTGAGTGGCAGATTAATCCTGGGGAGTGTGGTATGAGAAGTGAAAGAATTAAAATTTCCAGATTTTGTACCAGGAAATGGCATTGGGTAAAAGACTGAAGAGGGAATGGGTGTGGGGGAGGGTGACTAATTTGGTCTGGGACACACTGAGTTGGGCATGCCTGCAGGACATGCAGATGGTGATGTCTACAATGCCTTCCAGTCTGGGGCTCAGGAGAGTTCACTGTTGAGCCTGAGAATTTTTATGCATTGCTTTTGCTTCTCAGGAAGCCTGACAGAAAATGGGCTGAGAACCAAACCTTCTATGAGGAGAATCTTAAGCAGGATGCTGCAAGAGCTTCCTTTTGTCTGAACTCCCACTCCTGCAGATGAGTCAACATGCAAAAGGAGAAATAAATACATCACCGAATCTTCTGTGGTAAAAGGAGCTTCCCTTTTTAAAACAATACTGTCAACTGCTATGTTGCTTCTCCCAACCCTCCTTCCTATTACCTTCCTCTAATTTACGAAGTGGATTCGTCTTCACTATTAATTGAGCTCTTATTTCCTCATATCTGAGCACTTCCTAGAAACATGTATGGGAGTGTCTGATATCATCTCGAAAGTGTATTTTTTAATATTCTAATGTGTTATTGCAATCATTCTTTATCTCAGTCATTTATAGATGCCTACAAGGTGCCAGGCCATGGGGTGCTAGGTGTTTCACACATATTTTTCCTGATCTTTACAACTTTTTTGCAATCTGTAGGCATCATGACATTTTACAAACAAACAAAAGGGACTCGGCGAGACTGACATTTGTTTAACTAGCAAGTGGCAATGCTCTACCTTCCTTTCTTTCCATTTTGTGACATGGCATCTTCATCAGTCTGTGGGGAAGCTCAGCCGTTACCTTACATAGAAAAACCAGATCCTCCTACACATGAATCAATATCTCTAGGCCTAATTTGTCTCTTCAAATTCTGTTACTTCTTTAATCAAAATGACTGTTTTGTCAATGTAATTTTATTCTTCCTATTTCCTTAGAATAAGTCCTAATTATCTAAAGCTTTTAATTGAGAGCATAAATTGCTCTTTTTGCCCACTTCATGTCTCCTCTCCTTGATCTAACTTGCACACACACACACAGTTAATTTCTATAATCAACCTTATTAAACATATATATATATACATATATATATTGCCACTTTTAAGTATGAGTTTTGACAAATATATAGGTGTGTGTATACACACACACACACACACACACGCACATATAAAACATATAGCAGGAAACACTGATCTGCTATACATTACATTAATTCTTATAAAATGCAATTCTTATTCTGTCACTTCTTTGCTGACACTTCCAGGGATTCCTTGTTTTAACTAAGACAGAGCTTCCTAACTCATTTGTGTGTGTCATTTACATGGCCCATTGGGGTCAGTGAAGGTCAGAGATGACCAGTTATCTTAGGCCTCGCCTGGATAAATGAGGACCACAGGGAGGGAACAGCTCAGCACACAGGTTTCACTGTAATACAGTGGCTTCGACAAAATAGAAGTGAGTTTTTATTTCATAAAACATACATGTGTGAATAGCCCAAGGTATGGCTACTTAAGGGTGTCAGGGACTTAGACTCCTCTCTTGTTAAGGTGTTTCTCTTATTTACCTGGTCCCGAATGGCACTTCTACTCTGCTTCCACATTTCAGGCAGTAGGCTAGAGAAAAGGGAAAGTTAAAGGGGAGGATGCAAGCCTCTTCACTTTAGGGGTATACCCAGAAGCACACACTACTTCCATTCACTTCTCACAGCTATGAGTGTGGGGCTGAGGAGCGGAAAATACTCTTTGTTCCAGACACCCATGTACTGAGTTAAACCAGAAAGTTCTATGACCACAGAAAGAGGGGAAAATGGGTGTTTGTGTCAACTAGCAATCTCTGCCACATTTCTCAATATATGCAGGATAAAATCTTCTAGTGGAACTTATTTTTCCAAACCCAAACCTTAATACTTTCCCACATGTAGCTATACACCAGCTGGATGGCCCAACTATGGTCCTCTAACGTCCCACATATCTCAGGCCTCCTTGATTTTGCTCACATCGTGGTACTTCCCTGACATACCTTCATCTGTATAGGTTCACCTTGCACTTAGCCTTTAACTCCCAACTCAGCAGCCACTTCCTATATGAAGCTTTCCCTGACCACTCCACCTTTCTTACAGCGCTTCTTCCTTCTCTAAGCTCAGCATTTATTTGTTGCTAGTTTGGTCCTTCTATTTTCTATTTCATAATATTATTTTTTATTTGTATTATTTTTTTTCTTTGCGTATCTGGTCTCTCTTAAGAATAAATATGCTGTTTTGTATCCCACTCAGCATTTTGCATAAGGCCAGATAATGTTTCTTGTCTATCACTTGCATACCTATGCACTATGTGTATGAATTAATAAGTGCATGAATTATGAGTCAGTGTAATGAATCAAAAGCCATTGTCCAAAATGATTCCAGTAAGGAGAAATTGCTCTAAAGAAGGTCATCTGTTCTTGACTGGGATAGAGGACACTAGGTTATCACAGGCTAAGTATTCATTTAGCTATAAATGGATGTAGATTGGATCAGCAGAATATGTTTAGAGCTCATTCAAGTCTTATAAATGTCTGAGTGAACTATCAAATTGCACTTGTGGTCTAATAATACAATAGTCTCTCAGGTTTATAAGCTTTTATGCCTAACTCCAAATCCTTTAACTTTTACATCTACATTTGTTGAACTGGGAGTGTGCAGAGTAAAAGTTGAGGTCACATCACTGAAGAACCTATTCCTCAAAATTTCCTTCTCATATGGTTTTAGGGTAGATTATCCACTGAGAGCCACTTTTCAGAAGTTCAGAGGGCTCGGTCCTCACTTTTTCCTGTGGCAGCTGTAGACTGACTTCTCGTCGGTGGCCCCTGCCTTTGAACTTCTAGATTTCTGGCCACGTTCTGGACTTGCTTTTGCTTCCTCCAGCCCTAAAGTTGTGTGCACCTCTAATTCCCTGTATTTAACCCCTTTCTATTCTAAATTTCTAGACTAGAGTCTTCTTTTCTCATGGATCTCGAGAGAAAAACAAATTCTGGATAAAGAGAACATGAACAATGACAATATTTGTGTGTGTGTTAGAGTAAAAATAGAACCAATGAAAGACACAGAGATGGAACGGTCAGAAAATTAAGGAAAAAATTAGTAGATCCTGTAGGGG